ATCAGCTACTCTTAAATAAACAACTTAATTTTCATTTAAACGCAAAACATAATGTTTTCTCTTCTTGAACTATTTGATTTGACTCAATTTTATCTTCAAGAATCTTACCAAGTAAAGTTTTCTTACTCCATTGAGAGAAATTTTTTACTTAATTTGTGTCAAATTTTCAGACTTAACAAGACAAATAATCTTACACATTCTGAAAACAAGAATATTATTCTTACACAATCAGTTCTTGTTTAGTAAATTAGTCTCAAAACAAGATCAAAAAGACTTTTTGGCTGGATATAAGATTTTAAAACTTGGTTAGGTGGACGTTTTTTTTTGCAGTGTACTGAGAGAAGTTAGCAAGTCAAGCAAGTCATAGTTAACCATCTTGTGTGAGCTTGATTCATGCACTTTTCCACCTGTTTTATCACCAGTTTCCACTACAAGACACTTGCTTTGATTTTTCTCGCAGTCATATTCAAAGAAATCCCAAAGTGGACGTTGTGCTTTCTCCCAACTTTCGTTGTCGTCATTTGGCAGACAATGCAGAGCAGCAGATTGTAAGCAAGTGTTGTTACAGACCGTGAGGTGCCGTAAGATGCCCGCGGCTAATGTGAAACTACTCAATAAAAAAAAGATCCACCGTTCTCAAAATACGTTGACAAACACTAAAACTAAGGATATTCAGTCATAATTTCAGTTAGTTTTAGTTAGTTTTGTAAAAAGATTATACAGTTTTAGTTGGTTATCATTTTCTCATTTTATTACAGTTTTTATTTATTTTAGTTAACCAAAACGCCCTGTGATGGACTTGCGACCTGTCCAGGGTGTACCCCACCCCTCGCACTGTGACTGCTGGATATGGGCACCAGTGACCCACGCAACCCTGAAAAGGAAGAAGCAGAAAATGGATGGATGGAGTTAACCAACAGTTAACTAACCAGTTAACCAAAACATTTTTTTTTCAATTTCAGTTTTCGTTATTTAGTTAGTTTTAGTTAACTAAAATAACTCAGCATTGTGCAGAGACTGGCAGAGGAAAACAACTTCCTGACGCGTGTCTAGARCAAATTTGACGAGCGTCTGACCTCAAAGTGCACAAGCGTCCAACTTGAAGTGTTGGACGTGTTTTTGAAGCTGAAAAYGCATTTGGTSTTGTCCCGTAACTGGTAGGTTGCCYGTTCTATCCCCMCRTTCCAGCCSTCTCAGTTTTTGTGTCTTTGGGCAAGACAYTTCACTCAACTTGCCTACTGATGGTGGCACCGGTGCATGGCAGCCCYGCTTCTSTCWGTGTCRGTGTGTGGCTACACTGTAGCTTATACCATCATCTGTGTGTGAATGGTTGAAGTRTAAAGTGTTTTGGGGTCCATAAGTGGYTATATAAGTTCAAGCCATTTACCATTTAATTCAGTCTGTTTTACAGATATTGCGCTAAAATTCAGTGAGGTGATAGGTAATGTTAAATACGCATGTCATCTTGAGCATGACAGATTATATCAAATAGCATTATTTCTCAAATGGCTACAACTCTAAATTCTCAGAAAATCTTAATCTAAAACTCTGGTATAAAAGACGATTAGCGATGTGCATTACTTCAAAGAGGCCTTTTATTTCAATGCTTTTTATTATTTTATTTCACTACAGTGTTCAACAGTGTAATACCCACTTCACTGCAGGTTGTATGTGTAGCACTGCTGTGTTGCAATACATACTTGCTTGTGGTGTTTCAGGCTTAGATGCCTTTGAATTGGTGGCCATGGGAAAATAATATATTCATAGCATTGCTTAAAAAAAAGTCCACACAGATTTTACTGCATTTCTTTACCGGCAACACTGTTTCCAGATAATCTCCCCAGCCTTGCAGTAGGTATTCACCTCCCTCAAATAGAGTACAGAACTCTTCCAGCAAACACAAGCACAGGCGTCCACATCCCTTTCTGTCTATCTCATCAGATTGCATCTACTTACACTTAACTCCCCAGACAGCAGGGTCTGTTTGCCTGTGTGTCTGACTGCACGTCTGCCGCCTCCAACGTCGAGCGAGTTTTGACCTCAATTCATAACCAGCTTCACTTTACTGAGCCTGCTGCCACAAGCTACAGTACGGATTGTYCTAGACTGAGTCATCTGAACTTTTCCAGGTTACAGATGCCTGGTGCATTGTCATTCCGGCAGCGTGGCACCGTAACCTTTAAACGGAATCCCTGTCTGATCGTGACGGCACGTGTCAGTCGGTGGGGCGTCGAGGAGCTAGATGATCTAAATCTGACATTTGTTCTTTTGGTCGAGGATTGATCAGAGCGGGTTTTCGCCTCAGAGATTTCCTCACAGGAGACCTAGAGCACCTGAAATATCAGCAGCGGCACGGAAATGTGAGCAACGCCTTGTGTTTTACATCTTTATATAAAAAAATGGGAAAACAAAACACTATAAAGAAATCTTTTTAGTYGGGTAGTAAACACGGTTCACAACAACAGAACATAAAGGGCTGTGATGATGAAAACAGAACACTTTATGCRCGCTTATAGCTCCCAGAATTTCCCACCTCTAATTATTAAATATTACTACATGGATTTTTAAGTCCCTCTAACTGCTCCGCTTCAGATTTTATGCTCAGTTTGCCCAKTTTCAAGCTCTTTAGCAAAGAATCACAGCCTTAACAAACCTTACTTCCCAGATGCCGCACAAATAATTGATGAGCAAACACTGGTTTATCAGTTTATTAGTGTATTTGAATTGGTGGTTACTGTGGCAACTTCTCCTTTAGGAGTCTGCACAACACTTAAAAGAAAACACCACAGCCCTTTACACGCTAAAGTGGAGCAACACGTGTGAGAATTCAAAAAATACAGGAAAAATGAGATGAAAGTCTAAGAAATAGACTTTTTATAAAGTTTCTTAGCAATGGTGGGCAGCACTTATCAAAAAATTAGTTCCAGTAGCCCTAAAGCACTAACTCAAATATTTAGGGCCCCTAATTTTAAAGGGGCAATATCATGTAAAATCAACATTTTTGAGTTTTATATCATTTTATAATGTTATACTCTCATGAAAACATGCCCAAAGCCTTGCTTTGACTCATTCATGCATGTTTGAGAAATCCTGCAGTGTTTTTAGGCAGCCATGCTGAGGAGCAAAACGACAGGTGGGGACCAGAAACGTCCCTGGGACGTGTCTTTAAGCTGAACTTCCTCATGACAGAGCGCACCCCCTCCCCCGCCCCTCCCACACTCCCCGCCCATGACTTCTGTAGGCTCTTGGGTGAAAGTGAAAGTGAAACCTAACTGTCTGCTGAGCTCTCAACATTAGTTCTCACTCAGTGAAGCTCTTTTCAAATTAAAAATACCTTTGAGGAAATGTATTTTCAGATGCCAAGTAAACTGCATCATGGCAGCGCCCCCGCGAGCGTGAGGTTCTTAAAGAGACAGAGGCCTATTTCAAGGCGTTTAAAAGAGAAAGTGACAAAAAAAGAAGAGGAAGTGATGAGAAGATAAGTTTATTGTCTATTTAAAYGTGAAAACAGAATTTTAATAACTGCTAAAGGTGACATAGATACTTTATTATGGTATAGTATTTAAATATATGCCTGAGAAACACATAATATTGGCCCTTTAAAGCACTAATGCACTGGAAATTTTTAGCAAAAACTAATTCTAAAGCACTAAAATAACCCACTCAACTCATGAACATTCTTTAATAGACAACATGTGTCACATATTGCCATGTTGCTCTCTTATGACTTCTACTAATAAATTTTAAAATTAGCAAAAACCCTAAAGCACTAGTCAGGAAATTAGTTCCTCTATTAGTGCTTTAGTGCTTTAGGGGAACTGTGCCCACCACTAGTCATTAGCTTGTGGATTTTGTACATTATATATGTTTGTTTGGATGTTTTCTTATTTTTTTTCAAAGACCTTGACCTTTTACACAGTGTRAGGGACACTTTTAAGTCACTTAGACCGACATGTTCCAGTTGAATGGACGTGACTGTGGCAGAGCAGAGCCAAGCACCCCTAGGTGCAATGCTGTGTGCAAGGGTGCATGTGAAGTATTCATGTGGAGCAGCGTCCCCTGAATAATAAAACGAGTTTATACAATTATTGCTGTTTTATTCAAATTTTAGCTTAAAGAGCTCAATCTGTTTGATTTGTTCTTGAATTCTTTTTTTTACAAAACATATCATAGCTTGCGTTTTACACCCATACACTCACATAGGCATTTGGATAACTACCAACCCCCCCCTGCTGTGATGAAGCCAAGCATTTTGTTTGAAGTTACTGGTTTTGGAAACAAAAGAACACATGAACAGGTGTGTGAAATCATAAAGGCGGATTGGTTTTTAAGCGTAATAGAATTCTTAGGAAGACTTCACAAAGCGATAAAATCACACGTGTGGAYTGGAGTGCGTTCTACAGTCCATGGTCAATCTGCTCAATTTTCCTGGCTGTCCCTATAAGCCGGGAGGCATATGGGTATTAATCTCTAAGTAGTGGCAAGTGTGGCAACAAGACTTAATTCATTTACTTAAGAGCTTTGCACGAGGGGTTTAAAAGTTAATAAGACGATCACTCCGTAGTGCATTTGATTAAGCCCTGTTAATTACCCCAGGTATAATGGACTATTAGCAAAGGCCCAGTTGTAAAAGGGCAAAAGTGAGATGATTGTTTTTATGAGGTACTTTTTGTTAACCTTTTCCAATGTCAGGATAATACTGGAAATTAGAATATGACTGAGTTCCTCCCACAGTGCGCTGCATGAGAGAGCAGTATTGGTGTTGGATGAGTYTAATTTTACAGGGATTTTTTTTAAGATTTGAAAATTAATCTTGGATGATTTAAGCCATTAGTGACTGCTTGGGGACACGGGCAGCAAAAAGRGAAACAGTGCTTTTAAATAAGACGTGTAAAAGTTAAAAATGTGGGWCTTCTAACTTTGGAGTGCAGCATCTTTTTTCATTGCAATGTGCAATTCTGTGACACTTCCCCTTTGCTTTTGTTTGTGTKTCTCTCCAGGCATTTTCTTTTTAAAACTGGAACAGGAACAACCCCTTTCTTTGGCGCCGCGGCTCCCGGTTACACCATGGCAACGGGGACCGTTTACTCCACACCTGCACGCCCTTTGCCCAGAAACAGCCTGTCCAGGGGAGCTTTCAAGTTCAAAAAGTCACCCAAGCATTGTTCCTGGAAATGTACCGCRCTGATTGCTGTGGCCATAGCAGTGGTCCTCTCCATCATCCTCTGCTACTGCATAGGTAAGGCTCAGAGCAGATTATAGCAGCTTTAAAATTTGGCMGATTTTCGAAGTCTGATTGGACTGCATGCATGGGGACATTTCTAAATAATTACTTGTATTCAAGTGTCAAACAGCTATTGAAACAGCTTTAAAGGGAGGAGATACGGAGCTTGACCTATATTGCCCATAACTGCACATATATTCCTTTCAGCCTCAGATATGGACACACATCATTGCCTTTTTTTATTATCCATCATCTCAGTCTCACTGCATTTCAGCTTCCACACCTCTCCATTTGTAAGGTTGCCTCATCAGTTCATACACACTRCCTCTAACAGGTTTTCACTGTCAGATGGCCACTTTGTGGTGGGATTTCACTGAGCAGCAACTGTTGGGAGACTCATTGGTAAAAAGAAATTCCTTGAAAATTGTGGGAAAGTTGTAAGAAAATATGTGAATTTTCAGTTCCAGTCCCACTGAACTCATGCTCTTTTATTGCGACCAAATGACCTTTGAGGCATGTCTCCAGGTTTTGAGTGGCCAGTTTTTGAAAATTACAGTGTGTATGGATTGCAAAAGTGTATTCCTGGCCGGGGGCATTATTTTGTTACCARTCCCTGTCCATATCATACCTACCTGAACTCGATTTGTTCCTGCCTCAGGTGTGAACGCAGCGAAAGTTGTGAGAAATTTAAAAAAATGTCATGAATACTGTTCAACTACTGACTACCCAGTAAGATGCTACCTTTATGATCTATATTTAAATCTACCGTATTTATTCAAGTATAATACGTAAAATGTAATCCATAAAATCATCCATAAAGTTGAGGGGTAGTATTATACTCGGATAAATATTTTTAGTTATGTATTTTAACTAAAATATCGGCTTCTTTCACAAAATGCCTGAGTCCGGAAATGAGACCATGTCGTAAAAGCAGTTGAAACAAACTTACCTGTGACACTCCTTCATTCTTCAGAGCGAGATAGTAATAGATCCAAGCAGGCGACATGATGTGAAAAACGGGGGAAAGCAGTCCTGCACCTTAGTAATGATAACAAACTGATGACATCAGCGTGTGACCGGGCCGCTCCTCGAACAACAACAAACACATGTTCTTCTGTAATGGCTGCCGTCTACCAGTGTTCTGAAAAGTTTGTATCCCTGAAAAAGTTTCCCCACCAGAGGGGGCGCTCGTGAGTAGGAAGTAATCTGCTTTTCCCCCACAAGATGGCCCAAATCTCATGTGAAGTCTCTGACTTTTGTGTTGGCGCATCCTGGTGGACTATGTGTAAAATGCCTGAATTCATATGATGCTGCTACAGCTGATATATATTTGTTGTCAAAATACCTTTTACATATGTTGTTAAAATAAAATGAACAGTCCAATGATCATTTTACTGGCATGTATAAAGACTGCAAAGGCTGAAAAATCTTGAAGTCTGTATGAAATTGGAGGTAGTTTGAGGATTACTTTTTTTATGGTTTTTAAGCTCAAAAAAGGGGTGGGGGTCGTATTATACTTGAGATTGTATTATACACAAATAAATACAGTATATAATTACCCAACCAAATAGTTATTCAGAGAAGCATTTTCCATGAAGATGCAGTTGGAGCACTGAGTGCTGAAAGACTGTCCTAAAATTTGCTAAAGAAAAACAAAAATGTAGCCACACAACTGTGAACCATTGAGCTTTGTTTCACGATGAAAAGGTGTCACAGTTCCAACTGACTTTGTAAAAGCAATAGTTTTGGGGCCAGAAGCAACAAATTTGCTTTTAGACTTAAGAGATGGTTTTTCTGCTTCAACATTGGACATTTGTCTTCCAATGAAACAGAACAAATGATTGACAAGCTGCTGGGTGTGAAGAGAGATGGCATTCCACGTTCGCTGCCTGTTCCCTTTTCTGCAGCGATTGCAGATGTCCTGATACCATTCAGGAGTGGAGTCTATCTGACCACGTCTTCAGTCAGATATGCAGACAAGGCGTCAGTACAGTTTTCAAGCAGACGCTGTCATCTCTTTCCCTTTGACAGGAAGCTGTGCATCATCCCCACTGTCACCATCCCCAGTTCACAGAACGGTGGCTCATTTATGTCTACTTGGGGTTTTTGTTAAAAAATACAGACTCAGAAGTTCAAAAGGCAGTTTAGGAGGCGAACATGCTTGGGAGTTGAGGGGTTTTTTTTCCTTCTTTTTTAAAGTAGTTTCAAGGACTTGAAATGTAAAGAAGACTTTGGTCCACCAAGTCTTTGTTGTACAGGAACTAAAACTTGTTCTGTGAAACAGGAACTGCTTTTATCTCGGTCAGTGGGATAAGAAACTYACCCTCCACTCCCCATCCATTGGGCATTATTTCATATAAGAAGGCTTTGAATGTTTTTTTTTTCTTCTACATCTTTTTTTTTCTGTTTTTATAGCATATGTCAAAGCTGACTTCTTGCTAACCTTTGGAATCTTGACCACAGCAATAAACCTGTTACAGATTTATCTTTCTTCATGCCCTCCCTTGTCAGCCRAGCCCTTAATCCTTACACTGTGCCTTTCTGCCTGAGCGGATATATGAGTATTCACCCAGCTTGGAGGCAGAGGAAATGTGACACAGTTGTATAAAGAGAAATACRGCAATGTTGGGGAGATCCTATAACTAGTGTTTTATTGCTGGACAGAGAGAGAAGTGCTCTTTTGGAGGAGAGGTCATAAATGTGCTACATCACTATCAATATTCATAATCCCTTCATTGACTTAACTGTTTGGTTGCTTCTTGTGGTTTGGATTTTTATGTCGTAAATTAATAGGAGCGTAAACATAAATAGGTTMCATTTACTCCCCTGTCTGGAAGAATCAGTGGCTGTTTTTGTTTTTGTCTTATATGACCTTTAAAACGATGTATCTTCAGTTTACTCGGGTAAAAAAAAACATCATTTATAATGCTGTTTTAACAAACACCTTCACCAGACTGAATTGATTCATAACCTTTTACAACCCATCAATCATTAAGTTGTTTTATTGTAAACCCATTTTGTGATTTTGGATTTATGGGTTGATTCCAGAGTGTGATTTTGGAACTTTAGCTTATTTGGGGGATTGTGTGTGTGTGTGTGTGTGTGTGT